GCTCGAACTCACGGACCACGAGATCATGACCTGAGCCGAAGTCGGACGCTTAACTGACCAAGCCACCCAGGCGCCCCAGAACACCACATTTTAAAAGGCAGTTTAGTGTAATGGTTAAGACAGACCTGGGTTTAAATCTCAGCTTTCCACTTAGTGTGATGGTAGGCAAGGCCCTCAACCTCTCTAAGCCTTACTTTTCCTTGGTGAGAAAGAAAGAGAAGCAACCCAGAACACCTCAGAGGGCTAATGTGAGAATCAGATGCGATAATTAACGCTGTAAAGTGCATGGTGCCGTGTCCGGAGGATGGTAGGCACCGAAAGATAGGGATGGAAGGCGGTGTCTGGAATGGGGAGAGTTGAGTTTTACTTGCTCAGAACGTTGTGGGAGAGGCAAAGCCAAGGCCAGATCCTCCTTTCCTTCCTTTTCCCCTTCCTTCGTTCCTCAAACATTTCTGAGCGCTTACTCTGTGCCAGGCCCTGGAGGAAGAGGCTGATAGCATACACAGAACTTGCCCAAGACCTTTTAGACCCATTGTCTCCTAATCCTTCCATCAGTCAAAGAACAGGTGGTGGTATTATTTTATAGAAGAAGCAGGTAGTAGTCGCTATGTTTTTATAGGGAAACTGAGGCTTAGAGAATTCGGCCTTGCCCAGAGTCACACAAATGAGAGGAGAGGAGGAGTTTGAAACAAGACCTCGAAGGGTTCTTTGCTCCACTCCAGGCCAGTAAGGACTGAGAAGTATTTAAGGCAAAGTCCAGAGGAATGAGAACAGGATCATAGGCCAAGGTCTGCAAAGCTTTAAATTGTCGAGTTAGAGAAGAAGCAAGTCTTTGTCCGCTCCATTCGCTTTTTCGTTCAACACATGTTAACGAGCACCTTTTTTATGCAACGCCATGTGTTCCACGGTGGAAACACAGGAGTAGTCATTATAGGCAAGGTCCTTGTCTTCACGGAGCTGACATTCTACTGGGAATGAGCAGGCCACCGTCCTGAAAAGCCTGAGCTGATAACGAGGTCATTTTCTGTAGGATTATTTTGTAAAAGAAAACAGAGTGACTGTGATCAAGAGAGATTGGATATGTGGGGGTTGGGAAGATGTCTGAGCTGGAGCCTAAAGGTTCTGTGAAGCTCAGGCGAGTGGAGAAACGTTCCCAGTAGAGAGGACAGTGGGTGCCAAAGGTCCTAAGACGGTATTGAGCTTGGCAGTTGGGCCATTGGGATGCAGAGAAGGGAAAGTGGATGAGCATGAGGTTGGAGAGGTAGGGAGGGGTTAGATCAGATCGTGGGCCATGGTGTGGAGAGTGGATTTTGCTCTTGGCTGGATGGGAGTCAGCTGGGCCATCCGTTCTACAGTGGAAGGTTTGAAAGATGTCAAAGAGGGGCCTGGACTTCTCTGGCAGGAAGCACTGATAGTTTCAGGGTTGGGAGTTATTCCTGAGCCCCCTTGCTCTCCCTGAGCTGGGGTCGGGGTGGGGAAGGGGTACCGGGGCTGGGCTGTGACTCTCTGCTTCTCCTCAGTGTTCATTTCCAGTTACATGGTGTTGGCACCTGTGTTTGGCTACCTGGGTGACAGGTACAATCGGAAGTATCTCATGTGCGGGGGCATTGCCTTCTGGTCCCTGGTGACACTGGGGTCGTCCTTCATCCCCAGAGAGGTGAGGCCCCATGCTGGCTCCTGTTTCTGCCCCACCCCCACCCCCCACCCATCAGTCTTTGCTGCCATTCTTTGGGGTCGTTGCAGACTGGGCCTGGGGAACTTATGCAGTTTCCTTGGTCCAGGCCGTCTTCTCCTCCCTGCTTGCCTGAGTTAATCTGCCCACCCCATCTACTTCCCCTTTCTTCTAGAACATTCTTCCGTCATCCCCTTTCCCCCTAACCATTGACTGCTTACACTCCACACTTAAACACTCCCGCTTCTATACCATGGGAAAGACCTTACCTGGACTGTCTGTCCTCTGTCTTCCTCTTCTGAGTCAGACTGCCCACAGGGTCCCCTTGACCGAGCTCCATCCTGGGTGAAGGAGCAGACAGGGAGAGGCTCTCACTTTGCTTGCACTTCCTCTCCTCCCACTCACCCCGGAACACTGCCGGCCAACCTGCCCCCACCACTCCATTGCCAAAGTGACAGAAACCTTTTGGTTGCTAAATGTAGCTCCTGCTTCCTAATCCTGCTCTTGCTAGATCTCCTGGGAGCCTCTGGCTCTATTGACTCACTTCCTCCTTCCGGAAACTCTCTCCTAACTTCTGTGATGCCACTCTTGTGGTTTTCTTCCTGCCTCCTTGGCTGTTACTTCTTTGCTCCTTTGAAATCCCTTCTGTCTGTTCTTACTCTCTGCCCCTGGAACTCTGTCCTCAGCCCCGGGTACTGCATACTCTCCTTGGGTGCTCATGCCCTGTCCTTAGCTTCAGGTGTCTTTGATAGACGAATAAACTTCCGCCTCAGATCATTATTCACGATTGGAGTGTCTTGGATGGTAGAAATTAAGATTTGTTCTACACCTGTCGGGGCACGAGATATTGAATAAAACTTGTATCGTCCCGTCCTGGTGATAGTTGTGTGAGCAAGTTATTGTTTTCCCCCTTTTCAGATGAGGAAACTGAGGCTCAGAGAGGTTAAGTTGCTTTCCCAAAGTCACAGCTAGTACGTAGTGGAGCCAGGATTCAAGCTCAGGTCTGTCCAGCTCAGGCCTCGCCCACCATCCCCGCCACCTCTCCCGAGCCAGCTGGTGAAGGCGGGGTGCCACCTCCCCCATGTTTCGTTCCCCAGCAATTCTGGCTCCTCCTCCTGACCCGGGGCCTGGTGGGGGTCGGGGAGGCCAGTTACTCCACTATCGCGCCCACCCTCATCGCCGACCTCTTCGTGGCAGACCAGCGGAGTCGGATGCTTAGTGTGTTCTACTTTGCCATCCCGGTGGGCAGGTGCGTGGGCCTGGGGCCTGGGGGGGAGCACGGGAGGCAGGAGGGCCTGGCGTGGGGGCACGGCTGACCGGCTATCCCCTCTCCTCTCCCATCCCCTTTCCCCAGTGGTCTGGGTTACATTGCAGGCTCCAAAGTGAAAGATATGGCCGGGGACTGGCACTGGGCTCTGCGGGTGAGTTTGGACACAGCCTGGGGGAAGGTCAGTGACATTGTCACTGCTTCTCCCTTTCCTACCTTCAGACATCCCCCCCCCCCCCCCCCC